CGTCTGCCCCACTGAAGCAGCTCAGTGGCCAACATCAGATCACTGTGGTTATAGTGGGCAGCTCCCCGGTGTGCCTTCTGGAGAAGGGCACAATAATTTGTGTGTATGTGTGTGTGTGTGTGTGTGTGTGTGTGTGTGTTGCCCTATGGGCGGCATGTTTTATGTGTGATAGGTGTGTGACAGGTATGTGCTTGGGGCAGGTCACAGGGGAAACTCCTCTGGGAAATTGTAAAAGGTTAGATCACTCTTTATCCCGCCCAGTCTTCTTCCTCCCCCTCTTTCTCTCTCTTTTTCTTCCATCCTTCACTCAACCTTGTGGTGAAACTCTTCCCCTCCCTCCCTCACTTCTTCTCTTCCTCTCACTGACAGCTTTGGAAAAATTCTATGTCTTAAAACATTATTTATTTAAAATATATATCATATTTTTTGGTATTGCAACTCATCCATCAAAGATCTCCAGTGTATGCTGCATCTGTGCGTATCTATAGTTTAAGACCTGCCATATCTAATTCCTCATAGATCTTGTGTGTGTGGTCGTGTGTGTCAATCTATGCACGTGTGTGTGTATCTATAGTTTAGGAGCTGTCATATCCCATCCATCACACATCTCCGGAGTGTTTGTGTGCATGGGTGTCTGTGCACGAGTTTGTGTGTTCATGTGTGTCTGTGTGCGTGAGGCATATTGTCATACCAGAAAATGACCCTAATTTAGGAGCTGTCATGTCTCCTCCATCGTAGATCTCCAGAGAGTCCCAGTTGTGCTCGGTAGCAAACGTCATCACTTGGATCTAAATAGCCAACAATCCGAAATAAACAATCATAATAGATTCCAAGTTGATGTGGGTCTTCCATAGTTAGTACATTTATATATTATAAGAGTATACATATGTGTACCTGTATCCCAGCCCCTTCACTGACATGGATCCTCCACAGACAGTTGAGACTGTTTGGGTAGGGCTCAGGATAGCCAGGAGACAGTATTGTACCACGACGTTCAGTCAAATTGCCACTGCAGGGAACTAGAACGGAGACATAAAATATGGATTCCTTGGCAAAGTTTATTAACTAAATAGCTAACAGATAGGACAGGTTGTTGGAATATGGCTCTGCATACTCAAGGACAATATGGTGTTCAAATTAACGCTACAGGGAGCCAGAGAGAGAGAAAATATGATAACAAACATTACTTATGGTATAAACTGAGGAGACAGTTGAAGCTGTTTGCAAAAGACTCACTCTCAGCAGAGAGTGATTTCACGCAGGCATACATTTAGTTTGTAAGAATGAATGTTAAAATCTCTACACTCACAGTACTGGGTGGTTCACAGAAAATGACAGAGCTGCATATGTAAGCTGGTACATTCTCTATACATTTCATGGTTGGTTAGCCTTACCTATACATGTCGGTGTTGTTGAATTCCACTGTGCAAGGGCACCTGGCACGGCCTGGCACCGGATGGCACTGGATCCTTTCAGCAGATACCCTGGACTGCACTCGAACCGGACCACAGACCCAGCTGAGAACTCTGAACCGATCCGCCTGCCGTACCGAGGCTCTGGCACTGAACTGCATTGACTGTCACTGGTGCGAGGCACAGCTACAATGATGACAGTAATTAAATAAAAAGAGAAGAAGAAGAGAAACAAAGTGAATTATAGTGCAGTAGAGAGACTTTCATGTTCAACCTTGTCTCGGTTGAATGCAACTTATTGTGTTTAAGTGTGTATGTGAGAGAAAGAGAAACAAGCAAAAATTAGAGTTACCTTGGTAGACAAAGTGAAAGCCTCTAGCTGACTGGCCACTCTTCGCATTGAACCGCAGCATGATCTGATTGGATGTAGCCAATGGCAATGTCTCTCCTGGGACAAACAATTATACACATACACACACAAATAATCATTGCAAAATGACCGTGAATGCTAAAACAGTTTAAGTTTCCAGTAATTTTTTTAAATTGCTGACAATTGAGACACATTACATATAAATAGTTCCATATGAACACACACGTACACCCTTAGAAACATACACAGTCTGTCTGCTCCACACACTCATAACCATATATCAACTGCACTGGTTTACATTCATAACTTAACACTTAGAAGGGTTTCTCCTTATTTTATCCTGGTGGTAAAATGTGGTCTTCACAATAATAAGAATTCAACACACACACACACACACACACACACACACACACACACACACACACCAACTCACCGGCACATACACACAGAGATTTATATGCCCACACATACAAGCAAACGAAATAACAGTGATAAATGAGAAATACATGGTCTGGTGTGGCTGACATTTAGAACCATCATTAGCGGCATTGGGATGTGTGTGTATGTGTAAGTTTGCTATGCGTGTATGTGTGTTAATATGTTGGTGTGTCAGGATAATCAGTCAGTTAGCTGGAACAATGTGCTACAAAGCTGTTTGCCTGTGTGTGTGCGTGCGTGTATGCGTGTGTGTGCAATAGGGTAATGATGCGTCTAACATTATTTTGTAAAGCCTGTTGTGTTTCATTCTTTGCTTCCAGTTTTAGCCACGAGGGGAATTTCAAACCCATATTAACTTTAAAGAATAAGTCACCCATTCCACATTATATAAACTGGCCTCTTTCCTTTGAACTAACTTAGATGGATGGTAGTTGGAGAGAAAAAAAACCCACTACACTTAGCCAAACATAAACTGTCACATTCTCCGAGTTAATTTAATGTTGAAATAAGCTCCCTGATTGACTCAATGAAGAAAAAGTACAAAAACTACAGCAAATTGTAAACCTTTGTGTAAAAATAGAAAGAAATGTCCTAGGGGACAATCATATCTACCTTAATCTGTTTCTATTTTTCTAGATTTTTAATAATCAAACTCTAATTTACTCTAATATAGAAAGATTTTTTTTTTGGTAGTTCCAGTATTGGCCTTTATTTTATTTTATTTTTTTGTTTGTAAATAAACATAAATACAAAGTCACTGAATATGAATACCCAGGCATACAACTAGGCATATATATACATCAATACACCTACATCCAGCTTACCAACCACCTGCCCTTCAAAGAGATAACATATATGGATACATAGGTACATAAACACATAAATACACATGTTTATATTTGAAAAAAAGGAACATAAAGTGTGACAGGCTTGTTCTTTATGTAAAGAGCTTAATTTTTCCCACTCACAATTCTGCTCGCACACATCTGAATAAACATGACAGAGAAAATATTTAAAAGGCCCTGATTCCTTTAGAAAGAAACTAAATGTCAATTCTAGTGGGATTCCCCTGCAGCATGCCCCCTGGCCATTACACATAACAGAAGAACATGAAACTCTGAGGCAACGAGAGCACATTTTGCCAACAACTATGTTAATCAATATTTCTTCCTATTTCATTCTTCATACTATGTCATCTACATTGATTTTGCGTCAACTTTCAATCTCTGTCCATGCTGAGTGCGTTACTGTGAAGTGACTCAAAATGTTGGCAAGCAAGGATGATTCAAAGTTGAAGGATACGGAAAACCCAGGGAGGATTGTGTACTGTGTACTGTATGGTCCCAGTGAGACGCTTACCACTGCTGATTTCTTCTTGTAAAGATAACCCATAATGGATTTTCACCAAATACATCACTGTCAAATAAATTGTGATAACGACCACCAGTGCTGCGTTCAACAGCCCCCAAGAGCTGCTTTCTTTCAGATGATTTCATTATTTTCCTCTTTCAAAGATGTGCTCAGGAGCACAAAACAAAGAAAACAAGGGAAACGTCTTAAAACATTAGAACTGAGTGGCATCTTTTCAAAAACATGTCAAGCTAAGTTATGATATGTAAAAGAAAAATAATGGTGGCATTCATTTAGCTGTGTCTAACACAAGTTTGGGCCTATTAGGAGACTCACCTGAATGTGACCCAGCCAGAGAGCTAAGCAATCGAGCATTCTCATTGGCTCCATCAAACAGCTCCACTGAGTCATTCATGGCCGTCTGGAAAACAGCAAACTGACCAAATACAACTGAAGAAGAAGAAATAAATAAAGATATATATTAGCTTTTGTGTTGGTGTTGCAACCCCAGCTATAATTGTAAGCATGCACGGTGTGGTCAGTTATTTACTTACCAAACTGTGGTGACACAGCGATGTAGTAGGAGCAGGTCTGTCTTGTAGTGTAGTTTAGAGGATAGTTTGGAGACAAAACAACTCCTTCGGATCCACCGTACTGTCCTCCACATGGAGCTATAGGAAGACAGAGAAATTCATTTTTTTATTTTTTTATTTAAAAGCTCTTACATTAAACGTACATATTTTACACCTTCACTACAAAAGCAAACTTAGAAGCCACATAGTGCCATGTTGAAGTGCCCCTCTTTTCTTTATACATATGCATTTCAGGAAGGACTGTGAAAATGGCAGGTTGATATAAGTGCAGACCTCCTGCACCTAATAATGTTCACACAATTTTCAAGGGCCATGTGTGAGAAACTATTCACCTTTAAATAGCAGGTGCAACTATGTGCAGACGTGTTAAAAGAAGGCTGTTATGGGTTGAGAGAGAATTGAATTAACTTACAATATATAGAAATCTCACACACTAACCATAAACACATCATTTAAATATGTGCCGGGGAGCTGCATTGAACTATTTCCAAAATAAAAATCAGCTTTTTAGAAATAAAGAGGAAGGGGTAAATAACACAATATCTGAGAAATGAATAACACCAAACCAGGTGTTATTCAGACAAATGCACTTTGGTGATTTGAACACGTACAAATGTGCGTGTAGCTGCAGTTACTTGGGATTATAAGGAGCCATCAGCTGTATCATTTAAGACATGGTTCAATACTGAAAGGACAACATTGGGCATCTTCCAATACCAATTCAATATCAATTCTTTTAATAAGCCATTAATATGCCACTTATATTTGGCATTGTCTTCTAATGGTTATATCCATCACTGAGCTCTGAAATCCTGTCTCATAAAGCACTTTATCAACATGGTAGCCCAGTGGCCTTGCAGACTTCATGTTGAAATGACCAGTATTTTATTGATGTGTGAATTTTTTAATTAGTATCAGATATTATATCAGTTATTTTTCAAATATTCAATCAGTCATGTATCCTAACAATACAAATACTGCAGCGCAACGCATCCTTACCGTTTACTTAGAAGTTGATTGACTTAATTTTACAAACCCTTCAATAAAGTACTGCACATGTAATTTTCTGAGTGATAAATAATTCATTCTTAATTATAACATACTTTCTATAATTATGTTATTCTCAATACGACTTTCTTAGTGGCAACTTAAGTCAATGTTTTTGACCTTTTGACCTTTTTTTCTAAAAGGCAGTCTTAATCACTTACTGTGTAATGAGCTATTGCCTTTGTAAATCAGATTTAATTTCGCACAAGCTGTGAGCGCAAATTGATTGAAAGGCACAGGACAAAGTTGCAATGTGCTTTCATGTACACACAGTAAATGCGGCTTAAAGTTTAGGTATGTTTGTAAGAGAATCACTTTATAGGGTTCATCAGCTCTGTCGCCTTAGTGCCAACCACTGAATAGAAGAGGTTAAGTGAATTGGAAAACTAAAAGATTGTCTATTGACATTAATTTGAGCGTGAATGTTTGTCTATCTGTATTTGTTAGTCCTGTGATATAGTGGCAATCTGTCCAGGGAGTACACTGCCTCTTACCTAGTGTATGCTAGGAACCGCTTACTGCCTTGAATATTGTGAATGGATACAGAGAATGGATGGATGTACCCACTATATGCAGTGAATTTGGACAGTCACATTTTGTACTCCAGCATATTGAATTTGAAATGAAACAATGACTAAGTGTGGGATTGCATGCTTAAATCTAATTCCTCAATTTTAGGGGATTTAATTGTATTGAACATTTTGGTAGAAACTTCCAAGAATGAAATCATGATACGTACTTCTTTGTTCATCCTTAGAGTGGCAGGAGAAATCTGCAGTAAGTAAAATAGAAATACTTGCCCCTCTCTCATTACTTTCACTGAGCAAGGCCCTTAAACTCCCAGAACTGTTGCCAACAGATCAGGCTGTGGGTGTACTGGCAGCTTTCAGGTGTGAATGTGTGCAATTGTGTGTCCTGAAAAAGAGAGCTTGGCTATCAGAGAAACTCCCTTGAATAACTAAAGGTTAAAATAAATAAATAAGCGACTGAAGTCTAAAGCCCAGACATATCAGCATGCACTTGGTATCTTCCCTAGTGATGCCCTGCCAGGCCTGTACTGCAGCCAGCTACACTTATTGTTTGTTTCCTGAAAAGTATGATCAGCTGGCTTGACGATGGGTGACTGAACTGGCAAGAGAGGCACATTCCTCTGATTGACTATAAAATACTCCTTGGTTATCTTTATGTAGGGATCATTGTTCAACACCCTTAAAATACCATTAACATTGAAGGTCAGCACTTTAACATTATTGTCAAGGTTTCATTATAATCCAGTTTGCATGATGTGAAGCCCAAACAACAAAAATATCGGTGTACTAACACAGACACTGTAGCTACTGTTGTGCTAAGGTAACAATATAGCAAGCGACACTTCTGGAAACAGTGCCCAAACAGTTTCATCCGCTTCGTTGCTTCAATCATTTAGAGACATCATGTTGAAATGAAGTATTTAGATTTTAATCGTGTGTCTCTTCCTTTTTTTCCCCTGCTGCTGGGAGCACTGCCCACTGCACTCAAAGCTGGCGAGCGTATCACTACCCTAATCTGTTATTCTTATTTATTTTTTAAAAATCCCACTGGCTGCATTTGGCTCAAAAGTTGTTTAGTTTAGCAGAAAATTCCTGTTGTCCCCAAATATCACTTGGACCCTTTCGACTCCAAGGCTTTATTATATAATGTACAAATATAATGCTTTTGATGTGTTTTGTGTGTGCATGCATATTTGTGCCTGCAAATAATGTACAACAAAATATCTAACGTATCAAACTGAATGCAGATGTATTTTATAGTGGTTACTAGAGATATCCTGATCAAGTTTTTTTTATCCCCGGATCAGAGTCATTTAATATTGAGTATCTGCCAATACCGAGTCCCGATCTTTTTTTTTAGATAATACAGTGCACAGTGCACACTTCAAGTACATTCAAGTTATTAAAATCAATCCAATGTATATGCTTGCCTGCATGAAAGCTTCATGAGTAACAACAGCTGTGTGACAGCTGACATAAAACATCGGATCGGAGCAATAAAGCTCAACATACCGATCAGTTTAAAAATGCCTTGATTGGCACTGGTACAGATCGTAGAGATCGGATCTGGACATCCCTAGTTGTTACCTTATGATTTATTATGTGAAATGAATAACAAATATATTTCTTAAAAGAAGTGATGCCTTGCCCTGCGTGACTAACCAACTGTAGACAAAAATGCACACTTACCAGTAGTATTTGTTAACTATATATCAAATGAATGTAGCGGCACATGATTTTTGTAACTGAGATGGCAGTTCTGCTAAACCCTCTTCAGAGTACTTCCTTCCTCTTCACATAAACCCAGCAGGATAAAAACTTTGGTGAATTAATTAATGCAGTGCTGAGCTACAGCACAGTGTGGGATCTCCGATAGCGCATTGCAATTTCAAAAAAGCCTATTAATCCCTACTACCATTGCATGACCCAAGAGAAGCACACCTAACAGTAGCTTGATCCATCTTCAGCACCCCTGAGAGTTACAAACCTTGTGTGCAAACAGTATGTGGGCGTGTACACACTTATACTGCAGGTAAGGTCAGCAGAGGTCAATGAAATTAGTGTAAGTGCCTGTGAATGTGTGAGTGTGAGTGTGTGTGTGTGTGTGTGGAGGGGGTTATGCGTTGGAAACAACAGCAACAAACACATCTGTCAATGTCATCCCAACAACACGAACACACACTCATGGCGTATTCTTATCACTTATTTTCTCACCTCTTCTGGCTTCTTCTCTTCTTGTCTTGTTTTGCTAGTGTGTGTATCTCTGTGGCCCAGTCCAAATGTCCACCCACGGTATCAGCTGTGATCCCTAACAGACTTTAATTATCTTCACCTCTGTGCTCAGTGAAAATATGAGAGCAGGAGAGTACAAAGGTTGAAAATGTTGTATGAGAAATGGGACAGCTCTTTGTGAATTAATATCTTGCCTGGGTCATAGGCCTGACTGTAGCCGCTCAGGTGTGAGGATGTGATTTTACAGTTTTAGTGGTAGCAGTTTAATGAAACTGTTTTTAAAATATAAAGATGGCCTAATTGTTATTAGTATATTTGATCAAAGCAAATTGTGAAAAAAAACTGTGATTGGTGCATTGGTGAAAAAAAAGAAAAGAAAACATTTTTCCAAGTCCTTCAATGTTTTTTTTCTTCCAATGTCCAAAGCCATCCCCTTGAGGGTAATTCCCTCAAGCAAAGTCTTCGGCATTCAGCATTTCAGTCTTGTGGAAACTGTGCATAAAGGGCTCAAAAAGTCCACCAGAGAGCCCTGAAGCACTTTCCGATTTCACAGTGGGACAGCCCTGAGCCCTTGTGGACTTATCAGGAACATATGTCAAAGTCTATGAGACTGTGTGGACATTAAGACTGGGCCCGTATTCTTGGCTAAGCCTTGCTCGGTAAAACCGATTTACAGGCCTAGAATGAAATACATTCTACATACAGCAAAACTTGGTTTGGTTTCCACTCCTTTGCTAGACAGTTGCTGTACTCCCGCCCACGTCCTCCTCCTCCCCATTCCCATCCTTCCCTGCTTTCTTCTTGTTTCCTAAAGCATCAGAGTAATCATCCTCTTTGTTTCCACTTGTCCTGATCCCGTGCACTGATATCGATTGATATTTTTTGGATTGATTCTTGTTGTGCTGCTGCATTCAAACCCTCAGGTCTAGAGGTCTTGTCTTGATCTACCCACAATCCCCCAGTGGTGCTGCTCTAGGCTCAGGTGTCAGCCTTATCAAAAGCCTTCACACACATGTGCTTTGATCACTCACACCCTCTGACACACACACAAATAAATGCTATGCAAGTCACTCTCTTTCTCTCACACATCCATGCGCTTTGATCATCCACACACATATGCAGGAACACACACATACACAACACTTTTGTAGTCCTACCTCTCACTGTCTGCGTCTCATTTTCCTTTTCCTCTCTCACAAATACGTACACACACATACACACACACAGCAGGGCTTTGGAATGGTAGTGAGAGTACAGGAAAAGATTTCT